GTGGAGCCCTCACATCAATAATCCATCGATCAGAACAACAATATCCCTCAGTGCTGAGCAGTGGCGCAACGACACATTATTCAGGTGGATGCAAAAACATAAATCCCCCCCGTCCCCCAGGGAAGGAACGTCGGAGTGAAGGAGCGACGCTCACACACACACACACACCGAGGCGACGATACGTGAAGTGTAAAAATCGCTACATTTACTTCGTTATGTGCGAGAGGTGAAGGAGCGTGAGGCGCGCTGAAGTGTATGGGAAAACATAATCGGTGCGTCGCCCCCTCCAGACGGGGTTTTGGCGCCCCCTCTGGTGCTGCGCCCCTATGCGTTGCATACGCTGCATACCCACTTTTTGCGCCTCTGGTGCTGAGGCATCTTTTGCTGTTTTGATTGAGCAAAGTAGGAGGGTATACCGCTCCAAGATGGCCGCCGTATTTCCTGCGCTGGAGCTGCCAATGCGGGGTCTACTCTTATATTATGTCTATGACTCAAAGGCCCGGTCAGAATACTCACACTGCACCCTACGGCCCTCTTTGAAGTATGGACTCAGGGCACAGAAGGGTTCGAGTGCTTGAGTGCGCAGGATACTAGCGTGCAAAAAAAATTGAGAATTGGGACAGTAGCCCTCGGTGTCATAAATTCGACATCCAGAATAGCGAGGCTTCTCACTGTTTACGCATTTGTGTTTCTAAAAAAATGTAATAATCTATTTTAAATGTGTAGTATCTACCTTTAGTATGTTTGAAGTATCTGTGTTGTCAGTGGGGTTTTATACTTTTAAATGTTGGAATAAATTCTGAAAATGCATGACGCGGAGCTCTGATTGTTAACTCTGTGTGGCTTTTGTTTCCATGCATGGAATCATTGAATCCGGGAGCACAAGAGAATATAACGAGCCAGAAGTTAATGATTTTTTTATTCTCTTAATAATAGAAAGGAGGTATGTTTGGAGCAGCCTGATCCTTTTCTTATGGATACATCCTCTGCTGATGTGGCTTCCCATACATAAACTTCAGTCAACTTCCTCTGAGGTGTCAACTTGATGATTCACTCTGACAATATACAAGTTTCTTTCATTGTTCTGTGTGGACTGATTACCTCACATTATATTCCATACTCAGTTTATTTTTCTCCAAGCAATTTACTGAGGCCTTCTGAAGACTTAACTTTGAGGTGATTCAATATGGACTATTGCTTGTTACTTTAGTCATGGGGGTGTTAGAAGATAAAGATAAAAAAGAGCAATATATATTGTTTATGTTAGGTTCTGGGTTTTTTTAGGTGGTCCTTTGGTTTGCTGAGTTATCTCCCCACTAGATGGAGTCCGAGAGGTGGCGGGCTGTGGTTTCATTGATGATGTCATCCTCTCACCGGAGGCTGATCATCTAATTGACGGCAGCATAAGAAGGGTGGAACGCCAGTACTTCGACGCCAGAGTGTCAACCTTAGATGGATCCTCCAGCCCCTCAGAGTTTTGCTCCGAGTTTTCCTCTTTCTTGAGATCTGCCTATTTTTGTGCTGTGCTTCATTGTGGGTTTTTGCTCTCCTCAGGATCCTTCCACATCTGGTTGCCTGACCACTGGTTTTTCCCACGACGTCATGGGATCTTGCCCCATAGATGCCTGAAAGCCAAACCTCACCTGTTACTGTAAGATTCTGCCAGCCATTCAGAAGTCTCCGACCGGCCGTTCCACCTAAACTCAGTCGCTTTCAAGGACAAGCCTCCCTGTCCGCCCTCCAACGCCACTCTCCGAACCACCAAGCTCCACGGAGAAGCAAATCTATAGGTTAGAAAGAACTCCAGGACCAACCAACCCCCTCCAAGCCGTTCAAACGCACTGAGCCAGTAAGTTTACCTAATTCTCATTCGCAACCTCCCGTTTCCCAGTCACTTGAACTCACCACGCTTCTCTTATCTTCTCAGTGCATATTGTTTGCTGTAAATAAAACTTTTCATTTTTACATCCGTCTCTTTGGTGTTCATGCATGTGGGTGAAATCCGTTAAACCCATCATGACAGTTTACTGTTTTGTAGCTGTAAAATATGTTAAGTCTTTTATTTCCCCCTTATTTTAGAGATTAACACTAAGTTATAGAATCTTAGTGCTTTCATTTATTAAGGAACAGTGATTTGCCCTTACATTTCTCTAGTACTTCTAGTTCTCTAATTTCTCTACGTTTTATAGTACTTGTTCTTTGTACTTTTGTTACACTATATTTTCTGTCTTTTCTCTTAATGCCAGGGGTTTGAGACAGAATATAAAACGCAAAGCTTTATTTTTATTTGCAAACCAGCAAAAACCTGATTTTCCTTTTTCCAGGAGACACACTCTGTTAAGGACGAGGTACAGTTATGGAAAGCTCAATGGGGCAATGACATTTGGTTTTCACATGGTTCAGAAAGAGCTGCTGGTACTGCTGTTCTGGTATTACACTCTGAGGGTGATCCCAAAGGTTATTTTTTTATTTTAATTATTGATGTCGGTGAGACTGTAATCTTGCTAGTCAATTTATATGGATATAATTTAAAATGTGATAATGATATATTGCTTACACAGAAAATCCAGCAGGCCCAAATTAACTCTGTCAGATTTGATTTCAACACTTTTAAAGTGTCTATATGGGTCCACACCAGAAAATGTTAATTTAACTCTTTTTGGAGAGTTAGTACCTTAACTCTTATAAAGTGTCAAATATCAAATCTGCTGGAGTTAATCATTTAACACTTACTAACACTAATTCAGTGTTAGATCTTAATATTAACTCTCACAGAGTACTTCTTTAACTTCTTAAGAGTTATTTGTAATTAATATTAAATAGGTACTTTATTGTATTGAACTTTTAAAAATTCTTTGGAAAATAAACATTTAATAAAGAGGCAATGATTTTCTCAAATGCATTTATTTCAAAACCATAATTGCACCATAATTACAAAACATATTACAATGTGAAATAATGTGCATGTTTCACATGTCGCTTTCATTCACATATTGCTTATCAAACGGTCTGACATATCAGCTGTGCAATACAAAATGCAGTATGCTTAATACATTTGTCTTCAATACTATATGCATGAAATTGTTCAAAGTACCAGGTGGAAAAAGTAAAGCCTGTATCAATGCATGCAGTTCATGTAATATGATAGAGTACATTTTCTTTTAACAGGTGGATTGCCAGATATTACAGTACATAACAGACCAACCTGATAATCAGATCCATCATTTCTGACCCAGTTTATGTTTCTGGTGATAAGAGACAGTTCCTCTCTGCACTCCACCAAAGATGTCCACTCACTAACAGACTGTCTTCAGGTTGTTGGGCTGTTCGTGAAGTTTGGCCGGAGACACCAACATGCTCCTCTACTGCGTTGGATCGTCTTCAGTATTAGGTGGGATGATGAAATAAATGGAAGGCATTCATATAGGATACAAAATACAATTGTTGTTATAAGGATTAGAGGAATAAACAGGAGGGAGGAGATAACTATAAAGAGTATAAGAAAAAAACTGTGCCCGGGCACAGTTTTTTAAATGGAACTCTTTTTAAGATGGGGAAACATCTTACTGGTTTATGTAGTTGGTGTGATAGGAACAATGGAACATGTTTTTGTTAGCTGTAGGAAATATGTGAATCAAAGAAGGTTACTGAATATGGAAATGAGTTTTAAAAGGGAATTGAAATTTGAGAATGTGGTTGCTCAGTTAAATAGTAATGAAGGAAAAGGGAAGCTATTTTGTTTTTAAAAAAATACCGGGCTCATTAGGAGAATCTGAGGAATAAGTATTAGGATCCAACAGATGGCAGTAGTGCAACAATAATGGATGTAAGCTGCCGTTAAAAATCTAACGCGGAAGAAGAAGAAGAAGAAGCGTGTGCCCTCAGTTTTCTACTCTGAGATCTGACAAGTAAAGAAAAGTGAAAAATGGCAGAAAAAGGTGGCGGACTGGCTCGGACGGTGCTGCAGCAGTGTTTACACGCAAGACTGCAGGTTCAAGAAGCGGATGAACAGCTGGAGGCTCAATACGTCCAGGTACAAATATCACAAAGCAATATTTAGATGTAAGGGGAAGAAATCCTAATATTTACCTAAAGAAAACGTTTAGACGCATTTTCATTGAAACGGTAAATAATTACAGACGTTTTCCAATAGATAAAGAACTGATATCCAGTCAGGATTGTAGAAGCACTCTAAATAATGTTGAATAAATAATGTGACAGCAACAGTTATGTAAAAATATAAAAACATGCTCAATAAATAGTGTGTGTGTATATATATATATATATATATATATATATATATATATATATATATATATATATATACATACATATTTATATATGGATTAATTATTGAGATACTACCAGTTGTATATAACTTATTTTTAGGTATTTTATTGTAAAGTCAGTAAGCTGATACACATGTCATTGTCTAACATTAGCTACATATTTCAGAAGAAGAGCGTTCTTTGATCAAAAACTTAATAAAAGAGGGAAAAACCTATAAAGAAGTGTAGAAAATGATTCAGCTAAAATGGTATCAAATGCTTTAAAATGGCAGCCAAAACCAGAAAGTTGAGGAAGAAAAAGAAAAACAACTATTCCAATGAATCGGAGAATAACAAGCTACCAGCAAGAAGCCCCCGCAAAGTCATTGTTAAAAAATGTTGTGCTGAAGCAGCTACAGTTTTCCAAAGAATATATTGACTGGCCTAAAAAGAATTGGCGTAATATTTTGTGGACTGATGAAAGTAAAATTGTTCTTTTTGGTTCTAAGGGCCACAGACAGTTTGTCAGACATCCTGCAAACTCTGAATTCAAGCCACAGTACACAGTGAAGACGATAAAGCATGGTGGTTGAAGCATCATGATATGTGGAGGTTTCTCATACTATGGTGTTGGTCCCATTTATCACATACTAGGGATTCATGGACCAGTTTGACTTCACCAGAATACTGGAAGAAGTCATATTGCCGTATGCTGAAGAGGAAATGTCCTTGAAATGGATGTTTCAACAAGACAATGACCCCAAACGCACCAGCAATCAAGCAAAGTCATCAGACAAACAGAATTCAAGTAATGGCGTGGCCAGCACAATCCCCAGACCTTAATCCTATAGAAAACTTGTGGACTGAGATAAAAAAAAAAAATGCTGTTCATAAGGCAAAACCAAGAAATACAGAGGAATTGTGGAACATAGTACAGTTGTCCTGGGCTGCAGAACCTGCCGACTGGCGCCAGAAGTTGGTCGACTCCATGGACCACAGATGTGAAGCAGTCATTAGAAACCGTGGTTATGCACCTAAACATTAGTTTGATTCTCAGGAAAGATGAATCTTCCAGCATTTCTTAGTTTATATAGTTCATTTTTGAGTTTGTAAAGAAAGATGTCAACACTGCTATTTTTCTGAACATTGTATTTCTTGACTTTCTGTAAAATATTTTAATATTCAATTACTTTTTCCACCTTTTTTTTTTAAATAGAATGTGCAGTATCCCCAATGCAATTGTGTTCATTAACCATTTAACCCCACCGGTCACAATAGTGACCAATACATTTTTTTCAATTTCAAGGACACATATTTAGAGTAAATTATCACATGACTAGAGCTGATTATATCTTGGTTGCACCTTGGTGAGAAGAAGACTACAACAAACCTCCCAAAGAAGAGTCTAGTAATAATGTATGTTTAAATAAACATACAACAAAGATTTTTGGTGCACATCATCTTTAAAGTGTCTAGTTATGATATGCACCTTTGCATTTACAAAAATTTGTTTGGTGTGTGAGCAGGATGTGTAAACATGTTGACGGTCACAATAGTGACCGGTGGGAGAATACGTTTGATCTAGGTGCGTTTATTTAAATACATACCATATTCTTCCAATTCCTAACTTCTTCCTTTTTAAGATTAATTTTGAGTTTGGTTCTTGATCTGTTGGACTTAGTGATGGCCAGACAAAGCATACAACAATGTAGTTGTGAGAAAGATGGAATCCTTACTGAGTTTGATAGTGGTGGCTTAGACATGGACTATATGGGGAAGATGGGCCATTTTCCATGCCGATATGATCATTTCATGGGGAAAGAGGATGATCTCCCCCTTCAACAGTCATGTTGAAGCGGTTACCACCTTAAACGTTTGCAGGTGTTATCACCTGCAAAAGTTTATGACGAAGGGACAGCTGTCTCTTTGATGTACCCTTTAAAGAGGATCCAAATGAGGTTCCAACACAAGATGAGAAACTGCTGATCCACTAGAAAAACAACAATATTTTCCTAATGGAAACAAAGATGAAGAATTATATAGAGACTGATGTAAAATAGATCAATGGGCACATGAGAGGTGTAGACCTAAATCCCTCAAGGTTCAATGTCATGGTCAGGTCCAAGAAGTGATGGTGGTCCATACCAAAAGCACACCTGAAACGGTGCCGGTAGCCTAGGAGGTTGGAGTTTATCTTGTACCTGGTGGGTTGCCTGCTGGAACCCCCACTTTGTCTGTGTCAGTAGTTGTGACCTTGATCAAGAGGACGATTCACCCACCATGCCAGCCAGTGGTAGTCAGAGGACCTGGCGGGGGAGTAAGGCAGTGAATGACTGCCTTACTCCTATCAGACTGTGCCAGGGAAGCTGTAGCTACAATCTAATAGCTTACTGCTATCAGAGTGTGAATGTGTGTGTTAATGAGTGAATGACAATATGTGGTGAAAAGCATTTTCAGGTCATTTGGACTTGATAAAGAACTATACAGGTACAGGCCATTTACCTTTCAGATATTAGTTTACAAATGTGTCGTAGGAGGAACGACTGATTTGCTCATCATGGGTTGTGGCTTATTATCTTATGCAAAGGTTTGGTACAAGGCCAATAGGTCATGGAAAAAGATCTCAAATGGACACTTCTCTTCAAGTTATGACAAGATGTGACCAAGACACTTACTGGTCAGTCAATGGAAGAATCGTTCCAGAGATGTTGCTTTTGCACCACCCATGCCTGGGAGAAATTCAAGGCTTTATTGCACATTGAGTGCTTCAAGAAAGAACATGGAAAGTAAGGAAGGGATGAAATAACCCAAAATTGAAGAATACCAAAGTCACCAAATGGTGAGAAGGAGCCATACAACTGGCCTTGATTTCAGGCCTTGGGGTCCAGTATACTGTAACTTTCAGGTATGTCCCTGGTCCAACACACCTGAATTAAATGGATCACCTCCTCAGTATGCAGTCCAGCTCTCCAGAGTCCTGCTAATCACCTGATTCAGGTGTGTTGAAGCAGAGATGGATGGAAAAGATTCATGACCCTGGCCCTCAAATCCTGGAATTGGAGACCCCTGCACTAAGTCTGTTGAGTCTTACTGTATGACAGTGTGACAAATGTTCATAATTTTCAGAAATATAAATGAAAGCCTCTACTGTAGATGTTCCCACCGGTCACAATTGTGACCGATCATAAAACACACTTTTTCATATATTTTTCCACAATTTTAAAAATTATTTATCCTTGATTAGTTCAAAGGGCTATCAATGACATCTGATTTTAATATTTTCATGTCTGGGAAAAATCTGGGATTAAATGGGTTAAAATACAATTTATTTGAAGAATTTTGAGGTTTACTCACCTTTTTAAACACACTGCTATTATTATGAACATAACTATAAAGTGAGTACACCTCTCACATTTCTGCAGATATTTAAGTATATCTTTTCATAGGACAACACTGACAAAATGACACTTTCACACAATGAAAAGCAGTCTGTGTGCAGCTTATATGACAGTGTAAATGTAGTCTTCCCTCAAAATAACTCTATATACAGCTATTAATGTCTACCGGCAACAAAAGTGAGTGTATATTTTTGTAGCCGGGGCATCTTGTCCCGGAAGTGTGCTGCTGCATGCTCTTCCTCTTGTCCACATATGGAAGACGCTGTGACAGAGCGCAGCTGGCTTGTTAGGGAGACGGGTAATCGCCGTTTACATTTAAAAGCAGGTGATCGCTCAAGAGGGCAGATCCCAGGCTGATTCTTGCAGAGAGGTATGTGTTCTTTTACATTGATCTCGAGGTGGTTTAGAAGTATTTCTGATTCCTCAGTTTGACTGTTTTAGGTAACGTACTTCTAGTGATGTACAGTTGACCAGTTTCACTTTAGAGAAGTTAAAGAGTTTCTCATCTGTATTAAAGTGGTTGTCTAACTAGATCTCTTGTGTGTAGGTTGGCCTGCTATTGTTTCAGCTTTAGTTTTTGTTTCAGTTTTTGATTTTGTTTCAGCGTCGTTTTAGTTTACTTATTTTTGGATAGTTATTAATTAAAAGAACCTTCTTTTTTTTGGTTTTGTTTAGGGAAGGGGAGTTTCTATGGTCCAGCCCTCTGGTTTGGACATGCTGTCCCTGGGTCATAGGCTGTTTTATGTAGAGTGAGGAGGCCAGTGGAAGGGGAGTTTTTTTCTTTCCTTTGCTGTATTCACCAGGGATTTTTGTGCGTGTTTTTGTTGGGGAACACTTGGGTGCATTTAGTTGTATTTGTGTTTTCTTTATTATTCCTCCCCCAAGCAGTCTAATTTTATTTAATTGGGTTCTAGCTATTTTTCAGCTTTAAGGATCCCAGGGCCAGCATAGACTCCCACTTTTAGTGTGGTCACTTATAATAAAATAAATCGTGACTATTCTTGGTCATGAAACATTTGTGAATTCAATAAACAGTTTGTAATCTGCAGCAGTGCCTCTGTCAATTTTCACAAATTTATCTGTGCTCATTTTATATATAGCTATATATGTATGTGTGTGTGTGTATGTGTGTGTATTATAAACTGTCTCTTCTTATTTGTATCAGATGAAGCTTTAGACATATCAGTGTTGTATATTCTGAACTTTGATCACAGGTTTTTAAAGGAAAGTTGGATCACTGTCCCTGGTGTTAACATGCTACCATGTTGAAGCTCAGTCACATGATCCCTCCTCCATGTGCTTTTACCGAGTGGTGGTCACGGCTTGCTCGGAATAACTGAAGACCATTGATCAGGAAGGCTGAGTCTGGCATGATGTTAAGTCAGGTTTCCATTAGGCAAAGAACGGCACAGTTCTTCATCTCTGTGCTCATTTGTAACAAATCTGTTTCTATTTCACCACTGCTCCTCGCACTCTGCTGTCCATTCTCCATTGTCCTCAGGAGCCTGAAATCCTACCAAGTGTGGATTTCAGTCTCTGGTATATTAACAGTGGGATTGTCTCCCATGGCAATCAGCTCAGCTGTACTTCAGCTGAAAAATTGGCACTGAACTTGTGCCCAAAGCAGCCTGGAGCGTGAGATGCCACTGCACCTCTGTGTGCCACCATAGAAACATCTGAATATTATCAAACATCTGAATTACCCTGGCTAATTTTCAGATCAACAGAGGAATGGTGATCTACATCTGCTTCTTCAAGGGAGCCACAGACGACATCCTGCCTAAGATGGGTTAGTTTTCTTTTTTTTAAACCAAATTTGAACCTTTAAGAAATGTAAACGTCTCTATAAATCCCATGTTCTTCTTCCTCCTGTCAAGTGTCCACGCTGCTGAACCTGCGGTTGTGTGAGCTGCCTTCTGGAAAGAGGGTTTCAGTGTTGGAGCTTCCTGGTAGCCTGCTGATCGTCCCTCAGGCCACGCTGGGTGGAAAAGCCAAAGGGAAAGGCATGCAGTACCACAATAACATCAGCAAAGAGGATGGACTGAAGCTTTACAGTTCCTTCATCTCGCTGTGTGAGAAAGAACTGATGGCTGCTGCTGGAGAGACTGTCAGGGAAGCAGAGGTGACTGTGAGACATGGAACATATGGACAGAGACAGGTGCTTCAGCTGGACACTAACGGGCCCTACACACATCTCATGGACTTTTGATATGTTCTATTTTACGAGACTGACGGAGATGGTGTGACGTTCATAGAAATAGAACTCTTGTGTGGTCATAAAAAAATTATAAGAATTGTTTGACTTGAAACTTCTTTATGTTTAAATTACGTTATTCTACTTTGCTAAAGTTGGATATAAACTGATTTTTTAAAATAAAAAAAAATTATTAACTGACAATATGAAAATGATAAGTGTTCACTTATTTATTGCTAAAACAAAAAAGCAGTTTGATTAATTCAAAATCTTATTTTTGTTTTTATTATTGGATCATAAATGCCTATTTACATTCCTAATAGGCTAGATACATTTAATAAAATGTATCTATATTAATGTAACTAAATATAAGTTCACCTTTTGCACATTTTGGATACTAGATAAAATGTTTTAAAAATGTTTTAACACTTTCAGGTTAACATTGTGCATAAGAAATTGTTCTTAATGTTTGGCTTGGTAAACTAAAGGTTTAGTTACTAACTAACTTAGTTAGTTACAGATGACAACCAAATGTTCATGTGGTAATTTGTGCATGAGAACTAAGAACAGGCTTGATATGTTTATCTAACATACAGAGATGCAGGGTAAGACGTGCCCCACAGTTCATGGAGAAAATGTGTTTTTCTGTAGAGACTTGACTCTGAAGAGGTCTACAAAACCTTGAAGGGTTTTGTAGGGTTTGCAGTTGAATGTGATTATTACTATTATTACTGTTGAGTCTTAAGTTGTTCACACTTTGGTTTAACATGATCAAAATGGGGGTGCTTTAAAGATTGCAGTATTTTTTTTTTCTTTTTTTCTAGACAGCACCAACTACACACACTGAAGCATGTCTAACAATTCCCTACAACAAATCATAAGTGCAATTATCCTATTTTCGCTTGTTGAGCCATGTTTGTCTGTTTTGTTTGAAATTAAAAGTTATTGATTTTTAATAACTTTATTATTAAAGTTATTATTAAACTTTATTATTAAAGTTATTATTAAATCAAAAAGTCACTTGTTTTGTCAAACAAGTGACAAAAGTCACTTGTTTTTGTGGAGCTGCAAAAACAAGCGACTTGTTTTTGCAGCTCCACTTACTGTGTTGCCCCAAACTCTTCAACTTTAAAGCCCTGCCTCCAGACCAGTTTGCAGTTTGACTTCCTCCTCTCTCTCCAGTGTGGCTGTGTTCACGTCTTCCACACAAATTGATGCATTTGTTACAAACTGCAGATTCCATTGCTTTGTAAGTTTGTCATCTGATAGCAACATTGTTTTATGTCTGAAACTTCTGGTTGATTAATTGTTTGAACTTTTGTACCGATATAAAAAATACCATAACTGACCATCCTACATGAAAATCATGTTATACATATGTTTCATATATGGGGGACAATAAATAAGGCATGTATGTTGCCAAAAAATGCATCCCTGTGCTAACTTTAAGAAATAAAGAGTTAAGAGTGAAATAACTTTTTCTACATAACCAGAGTAGTTCCATGATCTGCTGGTAGAAGTTTTAAATCAATAGGACAATATTTGAGGAGAATAAAGGAGGCGTGCATATTTTGGCAGGCTGGAAAAGCAAATTGCCAAAAAATGCATACCTGTGCTAACTTGGAGAAATAAAGAGCTGAAAGGATTTCACCTTTTCTACGTAATGACACTTGTTCTCTGAGCTAATGCTATAATTTTTATATCAACAGGATGGATGCAAATATTTTCAGGCTCATGAATTAAAATGCATTCCCTCCTACATTAACAGACTAGAAAGTTAAGCATGATGTAAAATGTTCTACATAATGGGCCTCTGTTTTGTAATGCTTTTAAGCTGTTATGGTATCAAAAGAAAAAGCTGAGAATTTCAAACCATTTGCGGAGAACGTTTTCATCAGACACGGACTGAGAAAAAGTTCGACTCATATGTGTCAATAAAGGTGTAAAAACCGTATTTATTTCAAGTAATTTGCGAAATAAAACCCGCCATTTTAGGGATTACATGGTTAAGAAACGTGATAATGTTACAAATATCTTTGAAATTTCCTCTTCAATCATATTTCAGTCCGGTTTCTCGTCAATATGCGAGACTTTAGGGCAATTTTGGGCAGGCATGCGTTTCTGGGCAAAACACCGGAAAAATAGCCAGGCAAACCCAGAAGCGAGATGGAGCGTCCCGGTGGTTTGTCCTCTGAAGTAAGTAGAAGCTAAACCTGCAGGCTTTGCTCTCCGATTATAATGAAACATGGAGTAATTATAAATGATTTCAGGTTACGTTTGATATGTCTGGTATTTTGATACTCTGCGCTCCTCATGTTTCTGTTAGCGGGAGCTAAAGTTTATGTCAGCTATGCTACTTTAGCTGTTGGGAGCTAAGCGTGGATTTTTACTGTCAGTTTGATAGTCTGTCTTCAGTCTTAACCTTAACCCAGGTTGATTAAGTTTTATGATGCTGAAGTCGACAAGGAGATTATGGCAGTTATAGATGTTGGTCACTATCACTGAAACCGTATTTTGTTGCTTCAGCAGTAATGAAGGTAGATCTGGACCTGCAGGAACATCATCTGCAGCTAGACTTTATTCACCATAACAAACTGAAAGGTACTTCATTTATTTGACTTTTCAACATACTTAAGGATTTGATCTAATGTTCACACATAGGCCTGTCAGAATAATCAATAAATCAACACATAGGCCTGTCAGAATAATCAATAAATCAATTAATCATGTAATAAATTAAAACAAACTCAATCATTTCCATTGGCATGATTTATTGTTTCTCCTTTTTTCTCTCTTTATACCAGAAACTGGATAATAAGTCTTCTTTATCGTGTATGGATAAAGAACTGAGTTCGTAGAGGACTCTCACCAGTTCACCTTTGGAGCTATTCTAAAAGGATTCTGCCAAGACAAAGACAGGACTCCATCCATGGACGTTAAAGTTCTCTGCTGCAAAAGATCGTCTCTGCATCTGGGTTCGAGTGAAAACTGCCTCCCCAAAGCCTCTATTTAGATTAAGACACAGTGTAGGGTTAGAAGTAGGAGTAATTTCTAGAAATTCTTATAAGTATTAATTTCTTAATTTTTTACTGAAATGCTGTATGTCCTTTTCCCCTGCTAAAGCTTGCTAATAAAATACTAAAGTCTAATTTGATGTTGTGGACAGTTAAATTAATTGAGTCAACTAGATTTAATCCTTCTGATTAATGTAAAATCAATGTTAATGGTCCTAGTAAATTGGGGGGCTTCGTACGTTCTTTAGTTCAGATAAATAATGACCCTGGGACTTATTCCTAGTCTCTAAACTTATCTAAGCCGGAAACAAGTGCACGTTAATGACAGGGAAAGAGCTACCGTGAACAGACGTATTTTATGGGCTCGGACATTGGCGGGGCTACTCCGATGTCTGAATCATAGACTGAAGCGGGTCATAACGTCTTGGATGAAGGTAGTTAGAGCTTAGACGAATCTTTCTCGCTCCCAGCTTAAACAAAAGTTCTCTACATTCTTATTTGCGGTAATACCCAGGAATTAGAGGCTTTTCGGACCCGTGAGATGGAGAGCTGGTCAGTAGTCAGTCCGCTGAAGGTTAGGAGGAGTTAGGGGCGTGGCTGAGTACTGTGGATTAACAACCTCCATCTGAATTTCGCGCGTCATCCGGGTCACGTGTCTGAAACCCAGCAATACAGCAGCTTACGGAAAGCCAGTTATAAATGCATAAGTTAAGCTTACCATATTTTTTGACAAAATAAAACAGAAGAGAGAAACTTCCACAGGTTGGACATATCGATAAAAAAATCTGCTAAGTAAGCGCACATCGATGCTAAGCATAGAAAATATCCTATGCTATTGAAGAATTGAAAGGTGGCTATACTCTTAAATATCTAAGTAAAGGAAATAACGCAGAGACGTAGTTCTTGCTGCTAGGCTACAGACGAGCCGGAGATTTATTACACTGCCACGGATACCTCGTTACAGTTTCTTCAGTTCAGTACAAAAATCTTCATTGTCATTGTCTTGTCACAAAAAATCTCCTCTGAAGTCTTAACATCGACCTCTTTTATACCTTCTCATTTTCATCAGTGTGTGTTGGAAAGTTTCAACCAATGGCATCGATGTGCGATCCGTCCTACTTTTTGCATTACCACAAAGTAGGACGGATTGATGGGTAGCACAGATAGTCAGAACACCTGATTGCAATTTTGGTCAGACAGTGTGAAACACTGGAACTACATATTAGCTTGTGAATTTTATTTTTCCTTTGGATTTAAAAAAATAAATAAAATGAGAGAAAAAAAAAAGTTAAAGCGTGGCTATTGCTTACTATGGAATCCCCTAGAGATATGAGGGATTGCTTTTTCTATTGCAAAAGTATTGTGTTCCCTCGCAAAGGTTTTGGGTTCTTTCACAATAATGTACTGGTCCATTCATTTGGCATAATTGAATACTTAGTTTTCTGCTGTAATATAATATGTATGCATGTCATTTGTGAGATAAGTTTTATATATTTTCCTCAGGATAAAAATGCACCATGAGGAACAAGTCAAACCTGGGCTGTCCATCTCTTTCCATCCCTTCTACGATGTAAACAGAAACTCTGTCAGAAGGAAAGAAGAAAAAAATGCATCCAAACTATTTAGACTATTTTTGAGTTATTTTTATGGGGTAATAAAGTCATCTGACACTTTTGTGTTGGTAGTCTGAATGGTTAATAAAGGGCTGTTATCATTTGCAGCCCCATCTCAAGCTTACACAAACATCAACATGCAGTAATAGATGCACTTTAGATCCATTACTGTGAAAAGGTGCCATCCTGAGCGATGCAATTCTAGAATTACATGTAACAAAATAACCTGGCTCTATGTATGTACTCCAGGAAAAGTATTTTATTGAAGAAAAAAATGATGGTGATTGTTCACATGCCAAACAAATTGTATTGAGAGCCCAGTCTGTGCATATAGCACATACACTAACCAGGACAACCATCATACACTACATTCATAACAAATAGAACTGAAGCATTTCAAAATATTAGTGTACAAGTTTCTGACAGCAGCTCCAACTGTCAACTCTGATCTTTCTAAAGTTGCAGTTTTTAAATTATGCAAGATCTTTGTTTTGTTAACGACCAACGACAAAGAAACTGAGATGAAAACAATCTAAAGTTGGTTTTTGCTGATGTCAGACCTTATGGTCTGATTTGATCACAGCCCAGATTATCCCATGGTGAGGTTGATCAACGCTGGCCTGTGTAGGCACGAAACCAGGAAGTGACCGAGGCAGCAGCAGATGAAATCATTCCTCCAGGATTAGCCGATGGCTGGGAAACCTGCAGAGTACTCTGGGAAAGATCCATTGACTGCAGAAGTAAAGGGAGAAAAGTTTGTCAACCAAGGTCCCACAGGGATTCAACATAACTAATTTTTCTGCTTATTCTTCTTGTATACTTCAATTTTTTTAAATCTGTAATTTCACTTGACTTTTTCCTTTTTTTCCCCACATAACCACAAACAAAGTATTTTTGGAGGTGCGGGGGGTGTTTATGCCTTTGAGCAACAAAAAGCAGTGCATATCTCCACTGGAGGATTATGGTGGAGGCACAATCCTGGAAGAAAACATGGTAGCTGCTGCAAAAGCTCGTTAAACCTTTATTTCACCAGACAAACATTAACAACAATTTATTATTTCCAATGTTAGACATTCTATTCCAACACAAAGAGCTGTAATTCTCTGACTTTGCGGAATGAACCGATATGCAGAAGATGGCAGGCACAGTCTCCGACAGATCCTCAGGATGCAGCTTGAACCGCGTTTCCAGATGTTGTCAAACAGTATTTTTATGAATGTAAAAGTGGCATGTTAGAAGCTTCAACGCACAGGATGACACAACCAGTCGGATGGATGAAAAGTCCGACATCATGCTGCACATGATTAAGGTGGGGATTTTTTTCTGTAAGAATTCTTTTAAGCACTAGTTGTTTTTATTTGACAGATTTGTGCTTCTCGTTGCTGTTTTAAAGGGATGCATTAAGCTTGCAGTGACCAGACTTATGCCACCATTCTGGCAACCATTCAAAACCTACTACACTATATTCTTTTAAATCATGATGTTGCCCTGAGATTTCTGCTTTAAAGTATTACTACATTGACACTTTGATGGTAATTCAGACCTTTACCAGCAACAGGTCTAATTATAAATCCTTAAGCAGTGAAGAACCAAGTCCTGTGTGTGTTATTTCTTTTATTCATATATTACAAAGTTAGCCACTTTTTTGACTCCTCAATAGTGCATAGGTTGCTGAAGTAGCTGGATGATGCATTTAAAGCAAAGGATGAGGCTGGTTTGAAAGCTGTGAGAATTATACTGAGCAAAAATATAAATGCTCCATGTCAAATATTGTCACAATGCTCATTTAAATGTAAATGAGCAATTACTGACATTTTATTTTTTAAAAGTAATATTTCTCTTGATTTGTGTATAATTTTTAATTCAACTTGCTCTCAGTGAGCATTACTCAGTGAGTTGTTTTTTTACTCGGTGCATGGGTGGGGCATGTCCAGTGGGTGATCAGACAAAATGAGCAACAGCTGGACAATACTTGGAATGGAGACAATAAAAGGCCACCCCAAAATGTCACATTTTGCCACAAGTCATAATGCCTCAGATGTCTCAAGTTATGTCGGAGCGTGCCATTGGCATGTTGGATGTAGGGACGTCCACCAGAGCAGTAGCTGCACGGCTCAATGTCCATTATCGGACTATAGGCCGATAAGAGTTTGTTTCCAACAGACTGGCACTACTGCAAACTGACCTCATCCTCGTCAGCCACGTGTGACCACTCCAGCACAAGAACTCCACATCCGGCTCGTCCATCTGCGGCATCGGCTAAGACCAGTGACACACACAGCTGATGAGACTGTCTGCACAACAGACACATCACACCTCATTGGAAATAAATTATTTTTACAGGCGTCTACGAAAAATGTAATGGACATTCAACTTAAAATTGGTAGGCCTCACAACAGCCAATCAGAGTAGAAAAAATATTCCTGTTCTGTGCAATTTTCTGATGTTAGTTGCTAAATTTTGCATAAAATGACCAGATAAAAGATGTTCAACATGCCAATTTAAACTTTGAACTATTTGCAAAATGACTGAGCTCTGCAACATTAAAACATGGATAGAACTGTAACTACATTAATCATAGCTCTTCTTCTCTTCATTGTTTCTGTGAGTTTCTGGTGGAGCAGCTCTGTGCTGCCTTCAGGAGAATGGGATAATTAGAGTATCATCCATAAAATTTCACCCACATGGCATTTATTGTGCAAACCAGAGCTTTCAGTGGAAAAACAAAAGTTCCTTTTAATGCCATACAAATATGAGACAGAAACATGGATTATATCTTTATATATCTGTCTGTTGATTTATAGATTAATAGTTTTACTGGACAGAAATTACAAAGAACAAATCTGATTCTTGATCAAATCCTAATGAGTCAAATTGAAAGTGTCATGGAGTCATCAGCCTCATGACATTAACACTGACAAAAAATAATGTTGAAGAAATAAATATATCAAATCTAATTAAAACATAAATGAGTTATACATATCTTACTGTTATGGTCTGTAAGATATATTTATTCTCAGTACTAGATATGGTCTCAACAAACCCATGGCACTTCAATAATATTATTTTACCTTTTATCTGGAAATAGTGGGTTTATTCTTGCCATACAGTCCTCTGTATTAATTATTGCTCAAAATGTCTTGCCATACCAGCTTCTTCCTCTGTATTAAGTTTAGTTTCTTAGCCTTGCATTTTGTTCTTCATTCATTTCCATTTAGTTTTCTTTGTTTAGCTTTATCTTCTATTGGTTTATTGTTATGTCTGCTTTATTTTCTTTCATTGTTTACTGGCGCTCATGTGTTTCACATCATGTGTTGATTTGCCAATCATTGATTTTTCACTATTCACCGTCGGATTCT